AGGGAAAAAAATCCAAAACCAAGTCACAGACTTCGCATGTCTTACCCGAGTATTGAAAAGGGAGGTTGTCCAGTATGAATCGTGAAAAATCAGTCGGGAGTGTCGGTAGTACCGGTTGACGATTTCAACTACTTAGTACAACAGGTAGAAGTTAACACCAGTGCCGCCGAAGAAGGAAATCGATCAACATCGTGGATATGCATACAATTTATGTATGACAGAAAGTACTTCTAAAGAAAATGTGTAGATTTTAACCACATTGAGTTATGTCGTTACCGATAACCCCTACCAAAAGAACGTCAAGATTAAGTAGTCGACCAAGAGACAGACATGCAAAGAGACCGACAAACAGACACACTAGTCAACCAATACTCTAAGCATATATACATGTACTAATATGTCTTTCATTGTATTTTACATACGTTTACGATTCTCACACGAAATAAATAGTTGACGAACTGCTTTTGATGACGTTTATTCCTCTAATAACAAATTCACTGTTTTATAGTATCGAAACGCTATACAATTATATACTACTTTAATGACACTAAAGACGAACTTGAACTCAATTTTATTTTACGTTGTCGAGCCAATGCTCTTTTATAACTGACAGAGAGAATTTTAAATACATAAAAATGTGATTATTCAACCGAATATCTTTGTTAAAGGGGGGTGGTCGTTGCGCCGCGCATGTGCGACATTTCCCCGCAACTCAATGCACTCTTCTGATGGGAATCACAAGTACAAGTTTTGACCTGAGCGCAAGGTGCACTAAGTACTGTTTATGACTCCTTCGATATCTTCCAATCACCAACGAAATTACCTAGTTAAAGCTTGGTAACGCCTCGGTTCGTACTTGTTGGTCAAAATCGCCATCGTTGTTAATATAAGACACATATCTCGCGCACGCGTGGCGCGACGACCACCACTCTTGAAATAAAAAAAATAAGACAAGTTAAATAAATGTAAGTCAAGTTTTTGTATATATGTTAATTGAACAGTTGTCATATGAAATGCAGCTACAATCCTGCGCCTTTGAATCAAACCTCTGAACCCATAAAAATGAGTAAACATTTGCTCAGCTGTTCATATTTCGTTTGAAAAATGTTTAGCTTTATAGCTGTTTTATTAATTCGTGAGTTCATTAATTAGTATCTCTGCCTTCTTTGCTAATTCCACTTTGTCGATTTTGTTAGTTCCAGTCTTCGGAAAATTGTTGAAAATAAGTACATGACCTGGCACGTAATTTTGATGAACCTGAGTCGTACAGAATTCTAATAATTCTTTCTCACTGACTTCTACTCCACT